ATAAAATGAACTTTTTTGATTTTAGCAAATGGCTGCAATGAAACAAAATTTAAAGGGGTCTGAATACTTTCCGTACCCACTGTATATATCAAGGCACCGAGTGTTGTCCTTTCTACCATTTTCAGGGATGCAGGAAGGTCATCCTCTCCACCAACATCGCCGAGACGTCGGTCACAATCTCTGGGATCAAATTCGTCATCGACACGGGGATGGTGAAGGCCAAACGCTTCAACCCTGGTCAGATGATTCAGTCTTCACACACGCTCTCATATCAGCATTGAGTTCAGCACAGCATTTTATTGAATCCTCAAACATGTCATCATGAGTCGTGCCTTTTATGATTCCCAGAAAAAGAGGCCACCTAGTTTTTATCACAAGTAGGTCCACAGCAATCAGTGGAAAGTCACAAAGTGTGTCTACTCAAGTACTATATTTAAGTACAATTTTGAGGTACTTGTTTTTGACTTTTTCCATTCATTCCTAATTTCTACTATTAGTTGTAGTACTCAAGAACGATCTTGTCTCAGAAAAAGAGGACTCTGGATGTTCTTTCTATTTTTTTCATTTTTATTAATTTGTTAACATCATTACTGTGATTGCTCATAGAAAACATGAACGTTACCACACATACAATTAACCTCTGCAATGCCTTCTGATTATTTATCAAGACATTTCTCATGGTAAACACACACATACAGAAAATTATACATCAATAAAAGAGATGAATGAAGAGGAATCCTTTTATGGGAATGTGGATCTCTCAGTTTGCGTGATCCAGAATGTTCCACATTCCACACATAAGTGAGTCCTGCAGTGTGGGAGTACCTTGGCCTTGTCTCGGTCTCAAACCCTCAAAGTCTTGGCCTTGTCTCGGTCTCGTTACTCACTGATCTCGGTCATGATTTGGTCCCGGATTAGGTGGTCTCGACTACAACACAGACCTCTAACCCACTACATGTCAGAGGGAAATATTGTCCACTACATTAATCAGATCGTCATACTATTTACTCCCCCGATTAATATTTTACATAGAAAGCACACGATAAGCTTCTAAAATGACATTAATCACACCTTGTTTTTTTGAAACCATGTCTTGTTGAGGGGCCCTTGTCATGTTTCAGCTGTCTCTGAGTTAGACCGTTGGTTTCATTTAAATTTGTAATTCAAAAAATAAATTTAAGAAAAAAAATACACATTTTGCTTAACCCATAGGACTAATCTAGTACCTAACTGTATATCAAGTATTTCAAACAGTAAAATGCCCGTTGCACATGGTTGCGTCTGTATTAACAATCTAACATGTATATACAATCATATCTGTCACAGGTGCTTGTACTTGTTTTTTGTTTGTTGATACTTTCAGTAAGAGTTCCATGAGAGTGTTGTGTTTTAGTTGTTCAGTTAATTGGCTCTGATGTGACTCTTCCTGTGCTGGGTGACTCTCAGACAGCGGGCTGGAGGTGCTGGCCGTGCAGCGGGTCTCTAAAGCCCAGGCGTGGCAGCGAACCGGCCGGGCCGGCAGGGAGGACTCCGGCTCCTGCTATCGCCTCTACACCGAGCAGGAGTTCGACAACCTCGCCCCCATGACTGTGCCCGAGATCCAGAGGTGCGGGAGGACATCTTTATCTTTTGTCTTCACACAGATAATAGCCTCCGCCACATGTTGAAGCATTAAGGTCAGCGTGATTGAACGTGCGTGCGTGCGTGCGTGTGTGTGTGTGTGTGTGTACTTGCAGGTGTAACCTATCCGGTGTGATGCTGCAGCTCATGGCTCTGGGGATTCCAGATGTGATGAATTTCGACTTCATGTCCAAGCCCTCGCCAGGTAAGACGCCATCGCCGCGCATTCTGGTAGTCATTCAGCCGGGTCAGTGCGTCGTAGTGACCCCGCTGTGTTTATCCCAGAGGCCGTCCGCTCGGCCGTGGATCATTTAGAGCTGCTGGGGGCCTTGGAGAGGAAGGAGGGGCAGGTTTTCCTCACCACTCTTGGAAAGAAGATGGCAAGCTTCCCTCTGGAGCCCAGATATGCCAAGGTAAACACAACAACAAAAAAGCGTGCCACACTGCGCGTGTTGACTGAAAGTGACAGACTGTGGCCTGCGGCGCCGCATGGGTCGCACGCTCGACACAATTCGATTATGGTGTGACGTTTCCCTGTCTCGTTTGCTCCGTCTCACAGACCATCCTGCTGTCCCCCGACTACTCCTGCTCCGAGGAGATTCTGAGCATCGTGTCCCTGCTGTCGGTGGACACCGTGCTGTACAACCCTCCCGCCCGGCGGGAGGAGGTGCTCGCCGCACGCAAGAAGTTCTCCTCCAGCGAAGGAGACCACATGACGCTGCTCAGCATTTACAGAGCGTTCAAGAAAGTCAGCGGCAACAAGGTGAGCAGAGCTGAACGAGGAGACGTGTGTGACGACATTATGCTGCTGGGCTACCTTTCTAATCTGGTATACGTCTGCCGTTACAGGAGTGGTGTCGGGAGAACTTTGTCAACAGCAGGAACATGAGTCTGGTGAAAGAGGTCCAGGCTCAACTCAAAGATATCTGCCTTAAGGTACACATCTGGAAATGATTGAGAATATGATCAAGACTATGAGAATATGATTGAGAAACTGGGAAGTGTCACCTGAAATTCATATCACAATCCTAATCGGATTATCTCGGTAACAATTAATGAAACAGCGTCTCATTTGTTTACTAAAACTGGGGGATCTAAATATAATAGACTATGTTTTGCAACCATCAAATAAGTCATATCAGGCCTATTAATAGATGTGATTACATGGGTCATCATTTTAGATGAGTCATCAAATTATAAAAAATAGTTTCGGTAACTATCGTCTTGCCTTAAAAAGTATATATTACCGTTGTAACGCCTGGTGTACAGAACATTAAAATGGACTTCATTCCAACTAGACAGAAACAAAACAATACTCAGCAAAACCGTCTTCTTTTCCACTGACCCAACCATTTAGCTCAATATGAAGATGGAGTCGTGTGGGGCGGACACGGAGAGCGTTCGCCGCTGCCTTGCCCACGGGATGTTCGTCAACGCCGCCGAGCTGCAACCCGACGGCAGCTACTTGGCCCTGGACACCCACCAGCCCGTGGCCATCCACCCGTCCTCCGTCCTGTTCCAGGCCAAGCCGGCCTACGTGGTCTTCAATGAGCTGCTGCACACGTCCCGCTGCTACATGAGGGACCTGTGCTTGGTGGACGCCGACTGGCTGCTGGATGCAGCGCCGGAGTACTTTGGCCGCAAACTCCGCCCCACCAAGAGCTAACCAACGGAGAGATGGGACTGGAGCGAACCCCCTTCCCTTCCTCAAGTCACCCCAGTGGCGATGGAACTAAAAAAATGTATTCGCCTCACGAAGATGAATTTGGACGAGGGCGCTTATTGATTTAACACAAGTGCAAATCCGAACAGAACACTTTTCTGTGTAGTTAACTTCTCTGGATCTCACTACCTCCCAGCTCACGAGCATTTGGCACGTTGTCACTGCAGCAGAGATCTGCATATCGAGGCCTCACAACTTTGACTTCCTGTAAGACTGTAATTCAGATTTTATATGCTGTGTTTTTTCCGCTTGGCAGAATTTGATCTTGCCATTTGGCCACCTGGAAAAGTAAAAGGATGTCATGCATCGGTTCTTTCAACATTTGCATGCCTTTTAACCGCACAGAAAACCTCACTTAAGCTTTGGCTTTGGCTGAGACGATTTATCTGTTCATTTTTTCATAAAAAAATGGACTCGGGACTCGATAGAATGCCACTCTCCATATGTTTATCTCATAACATATTTACTTAATTGTAAAGCCACCTACCCGACACGATTCAGAAACCTGCAGTAGACTGGCTCGTGGTTCTTCTCAGTTTAATTTTGAGTCTTTGAAATGTTAACTTCTCAGAAGCTCAATAAAGCAGTCTTGTCTTAAGCCATCCCACCATGTAGTTTTGGGTTTATACAAAGTGGTCTTAAAGGATTTTATATATGCAAAGACAGTAGATCTGTTTTCTTAATCTCTAAAAGAAAATATGAAAATTGCCAGAGTTGGAACATTTTTACATTTGCAAAATGTAAAAATGTTTTTTTTTTTACATGTCACTGTGACATGACTTAACTTTTATAATTTCTCTACATGCAGCACTCGTCTCGTCAGCTTGTGCATGCCTTTTTTTGTTGTGTAATGATTGTACCACCGGTTCTCCAAATACATGCACATGAGAAGTAGCATGCCTCGTTCTCCAGGTTCTACTCTTTGCTGTTGTACGTCACTCAGCACCTACACAGGCGTACGCTGACAACACATGTATGCAATGCATGGAGACTGTGGTGAACGATCTGATCCCTCAGGTCTTTCATACTTTGTAGAATGTAAATCACGCCATGTTTAGGAATAGGATGGATGCTCCTCTTGTCTTTTTCTTCTTCTTTTTTTTTTTTTTTTTTTTTTACACTGGACTCAGGACTGTACAATATTTAACTGTAACCTGAATAAATTGCTATTTCTAACTGTTAAAAATACCAAATACATCTGGGATAGACGTTCATCAGACCATGTTACAAAGAGGTTGGATGTTCAGTTCTGTGTTGCTTTCGGATCATACTGCCCTTTTATTTTTTTTTCTCTTCTCATTCACAAAGGAAAAGTAGACAATCTAAGATCTGCATGTTATAACGTTTGTAAGATTAAATGCTCGCGTTTGATAAGTTTATTATGAGTATTTATTATGAAGTCTTGCATAACCACCATTGTTGTAATTTCTACTAAAATCAAGTCACTGTCCAACAGAACAAGTCTACATGAGAGAGTAAAGATTCAGAGGCACGAGGGGGACACAATAATAGTCCCATCGTCCATAGCTGTGAGTGTCTGTTAAAGTTCCTTTAACTACTACTTGTACTATATCAGACCTGAAAACATTCAAAATGAATGTTTTGGATGTTATAAGAACTCAGTAATTTTTATATATTTTCAAACTTACAAATGATGTAAAATGGAATGGAGTTATACCTTACTTATTACATTTTGCTACCATGATTCATTTTACTGATTCGTTTTATTGGGACATAGGACAACTACTGAAGTTTTGCTATCCTGGGTTGTAAAACAGCGCCATCTTCTGGCAGCATGGCGTCATGTCTAAATGATGCAACTGATACACCGCATTTCCCTGAGAAATACTTTCTGAGAATGATGCAACCCTCTCCTCCAAGATGTCATGTCCGCTGTAGCCACGACACATATTTATATTTATCTGTCCTCTCGTCTCTGGTGGATAGCTGCAGAGACATGTGTTATGTCTTGCTCGTATTGGGGGACATAAAACATGTAACCACCTTCTTTATGAAGCCAGAGGGGGCAGTGTAGGGTAGTTTGGGACATACCATTACATGTATATAAAAAAATATATATATATATAGTTTACTTTATTATATTAAATAAGGCCACTTATTCATATAGCCGTGGTCGTATTTGAGATTTTCTTTAGACACAGAAAATAATTTTGTTTTATTTATTTTGCTTTCTACGTATTATTTCCGGTTCAGAGGTCATAGTTAATAAAGGTCAATGCGTCCTTCCACACGTGTGTCCTGTGAGCTTCCAGAAGCAGAAACGGGGAGCTAGCCGGCTTGTGTTTGCTGTCGAAACGTAACGTTATTTATTCCGTCGTTACACGCCGTAACATTTCTATAACGTTACAGTCATGCTAAAGTCCGTTGTCCGTGTGGTGGGAGCCGCTGTTCGCATTTCTACAGCCACCGCGTCCACAGCCCGAGCTCTGCCACTCAGCTGCCCGACACTGTGCTCTCCAAGCTCGGCGACAACTCGGCCCTTCACCCGGTCTCTCTGGATGCTGAATAGCAAAGGAGCCTCGTCGGGCTACCGGCCCAAACTGTTCACTTCAAAAGCGTTGAATCCGTCGGTGTCGTGTGGATGTGGAGCACTGCACACAGAAGGTAACATCAGATGTAGTAGTCATTAGATAAGCTAGCTAATGTTAGCTTGCTTCGTATCAGGCAATATATTAACCTCTATGGCGTGAGAGAAGCGCGTTATAGCTGAGTAGAGAAGACCTCAAGTCGCTCAATTACCTGGATTTTCTCATTTCTAAAGACACTTAAACACAACACTAGTCAGCAGTCTCTCAGACCCACAGTGTAACCTCTCACTGTGAACAGTTAGCATTCACCTTGAAACATTGTTCAGCTATCCTCACCACAATAGGTAAAAAGACAATGTAATTAGATTTAAAAGAGAGTAAGTGTTGTTCAAATAAGTCCTGTCTTATTGTAGTATGTGTTAACATGTGAAATAGCCTGGTGAGTATCCAGGTTGAGGTTTGAAGGCATCTTTTAAATGCACTCATATTGATATTAGCAATTACACAGTCAAATTATTTAATATTCCAGAGAATCAGTTGAGCATCAATTTGTGCATATTCTGTTGATAAATTCGGATAAAATATTTAAAAAACGGTTTTAATTGTACAAAATGTCCTAAAGCACAGTAGCATTGTACTTAACGTATATCATTTCGCCATCACCAAAATCACCATTTTTGTCATTATATAACCTGTTAAACCTTTTTTTTTAAACAGGAGACAAAGCATTTGGCGCTTTCCTGTCTGATGAAATCAAAGAGGAGGCGAAGATTCAGAAAAGCAAAACCCTGCCGAAGATGTCTGGAGGATGGGAGCTGGAGATGAACGGCACAGAGGCCAAACTCACGAGGAATGTTGCTGGAGAAAAGTGAGGCTGGATCCGTCTCCGATTATCAAATCCTTGATGACACGTGGGCACGCTAATGAACTGTTGATCTGTCTTCCTTTCTTTTTTTTACAGAATCACTGTCACATTTAATGTCAACAACAGTATTCCTCCAAACTTTGAGGAAGAGGCAGATCAAGGACAGCAGAAGCCAGCGGAAGAAGAGGTGAGTCATAACAAACCTGTAGTTGTGATAGTTGTGTTTAACAAAACGCAAAATTATTGGCATTAAAATATGAACATTATAATTTCTTTACAGGCAGAAGTTGTGTCAACACCCAACTTTGTTGTCGAAGTAACAAAACAGGCTACAAAACATTCCCTCGTGTTTGACTGCCATTTCCCTGAAGACGAGGTAAGCGCACGGACTGCGTTTGTTCACACAGACGTCACCGTGTCGGAAGGTGTAATATTGACGGCAGCAGTGCGTCTGTGACCTTTCAGTCTGACCGTTTGAGTTGAATAGAAAAAGCTGGATCTTGCGTTTTGCAGGTGAGTCACGGTGAAGGAGAGGAGGAGAGCGACATCTTTGCCATTCGCGAGGTCAGCTTCCAGCCCGAGGGAGACACCGACTGGAAGGAGACCAGCTACACGCTCAACACAGACTCTCTGGACTGGGTGAGATTTTAAGGGCCGGAAACGGAGATAAACAATACACGTAACAACCGCTGATGAAGCTGACAATAGCTGTGTTTAGCAGGAGCCCCGTTCACCGGTGATAACTTCATCGCTGTTGTTTTTCAGGCCCTGTACGACCATCTGATGGACTTCCTGGCCGACCGGGGGGTCGACAACACCTTCGCCGATGAGCTGATGGAGCTGAGCACTGCCGCCGAGCACCAAGAGTACATCAAGTTCCTAGAAGACCTCCAAGGCTTTGTCAAATGTAACTAATGTTAAATAGATGCTAAAATTCACTTTTCTTCAATGCACTTCCCGTCACAGTTGGAGGTATGCTAATCCAGTAATGTTGTGAGAGACTGACGATCACTTGCTTTAGTGTCTGGCATGTTGCCAGCAGTTGTCACACTTGGCTGCAAATGTGTTTCTCTTCATTAAAATGTGACTTTATTTTTCTGTAAGTTAAGTGAGAGTTTTAAATTAAATATACGAAGGTCGTAAACGATGCAGGTCATGAACCATCTTTGTTCCCGTCGTAACTGGAGCGGTTTGATACGCTCCAGTCAGTATTAGTGAATATCCTAAAGCCAATGAAGGGACATTTTGGTCAAGGTTTGAACTCTAAACAAAAACTCCATGAAAATGAAACGGTTTACAAAATCAGTCATCACTTCAACGTGTGAGACTGCTTCTGGTTTTACAGCCCCAGGCTTGGCTCTAGCTGGCTTTGTAAGGGAGTTCATTTGGACTAATGTTGCTTTGACTCTGTCAGACCATAAAATGTGAAGTCTAAATATGAATGGCATACATTAGGATGTCTTCGGAGAATGTAACAGTGTCCAATAAAACAGTTTGATAATAACGGGTGATTTTATTCTGTCAGACAATTAAAATGACAAATGGGCCAAACTACATTTATTAGAACACAGCAAAGTACTAAAACGTATAAATCTCTACAAGTTAAGAGTAATTAACAGTTTTAACCCTTTTATATTGAGGCCAGAATTAAACCAAGTCTAAGCTTAAATATAAGATAGATATCTGCAGGTGTTAAACCACTGAAGACAGGCCCGAATCCTCTGAATGTTCAACTTGTAATATTTCTCTGCTAATCCCGGCTAAAAGTAAGAAAGGAAAGGAAGAGTTGCACAGCACAGAATCGGTGCACAACTCCAGACTCGGATCAGATATGTAAAGTACCATTGTGTATTTGATTGATCACAAGCAGCACCGTGTCTTCTGAACTCTTTTCATGTTAAGATGTCGTGCTTCTGCTCTGGTGACAGCCGTGGACTCACGTCATTCCGTCCAATTCTAGTGAATCTCAGCATCACGTGGAGGAAATGTCTTCAAAGTTGATTCAAACACATTTGAGTAGATTCTGGAGGTCAACGGTCAAGGTCACCATGACCTTGCAAAATATGTTTTTTTTGGCCATAACTCAAGAATTCATATGCGAATTATGTCAACATTTAACACGAATCTCTAATAGGATAATATGATGACATTTTACATCCAAAAGGTCAACTTCATGTGACAGAGTGTTCAGCTAAAACTCTTTTCTGGACATGAATTGAATCTGATCATATAGATCTTATGTGCTGCCGGGTAGGAGATGTGTGTTAAGCATCCACGTTTACACATTAAAGACATTTTGTAACAGACTCTTGAAGATTCTCACTTGATTTAAATAAGTCAAGCCTCATATTAAGGTTAGATAAATTTAGGAATATATATATATATATATATATACTCACCGGCCACTTTATTAGGCACACAAACCATGGTTGTTTGTGCCAGACGGGCTGGTCTGAGTATTTCAAAAACTGCTGATCTTCTGGGATTTTCACGCACAACCATCTCTAGGGTTTACAGAGAATGGTCTGAAAAAGAGAAAATATCCAGTGAGCGGCAGTCGTGTGGACGAAAATGCCTTGTTGATGTCAGAGGTCAGAGGAGAATGGGCAGAGGGGTTTGAGATGATAGAAAGGCAACAGTAACTCAAATAACCACTCGTTACAACCAAGGTATGCAGAACACCATCTCTGAACGCACAACACGTGGAACCTTGAAGCAGACAGGCTACAGCAGCAGAAGACCACACCGGGTGCCACTCCTGTCAGCTAACAACAGGAAACTGAGGCTACAATTCACACAGGCTCACCAAAATAATAATAGAAGATTGGAAAAACATTGCCTGGTCTGATGAGTCTCGATTTCAGCTGCGACATTCACATGGTAGGGTCAGAATTTGGCGTAAACAACATGAAAGCATGGACCCATCCTGCCTTTTATCACCGGTTCAGGCTGGTGGTGGTGTAATGGTGTGGGGGATATTTTAGGGCCCTTAGTACCGATTGATCATTGGCCTACCTGAGTATTGTTGCTCACCATGTCCATCCCTTTATGAGCACAGTGTACCCATCTCCTGATGGCTACTTCCAGCAGGATAATACACCATGTCACAAAGCTCAAATCATCTCAGACTGGTTTCTTGAACATGACGATGAGTTGACTGTACTCCAATGGCCTCCACAGTCACCACATCTCAATCCAACAGAGCACCTTTGGGATGTGGTGGAACGGGAGATTAGCATCATGGAAGTGCAGCCGACAAATCTGCAGCAACTGTGTGATGCGATCATGTCAATATGGAGCAAAATCTGTGAGGAACGTTTCCAACACCTTGTTGAACCTATGCTAGAATTAAGGCAGTTCTGAAGGCAGAAGGGGTCCAACCCGGTACAAGCAAGGTGTACCTAATAACGTGGCCGGTGAGTGTGTATATATATATTTTTTTTTATGGTACTTTTCATATATTTTTAATTATAATGGTCCTAGATACAGTAAGAATAGCCTATGTAACTACTTTATTAACATGCTATAAGACTATGATTTTATTCTAACGGGCCAACCTGAAGTTTTATGTCGCATATATAAGGTCAGAAGATTTCAGAAGATCATAATAATGGTATTTCCTATTTAGATGGCTCTATTAATAATTACCGTCTTCAGTGATTGATGGTAAGAAGGACTTTACCTCCAAAGGAAGTTGACACAATGATAGTACATGCTGCTCTTACACAACAGTCCACACACACATTGTCCCGAGCTGTGCTGTTGACGGAGACACTTGTCTCTCAGCTGACAGATGAGGGTCCTCGGTGCTGTTAGCGAGCGCCTCTTCTTTCAGGAGTCAGTGGAGTATGTGAGGAAGACGGGGGGAGTCAGCTGAGGGGAAAGTTCACAGTCAGTCCACGCCACGAACGACGACGCGCCATGGCGGGCAAAGGGAGAGTTTGTTCGGCCGGACGGAGCCAGCAGCTGCACAACTCCTCGGACTCGGACTCGGAGGCGGACGGTGGACCCGTCCGAGTGGTCTTTGGCGCCGGGCCGCCCGCGGGCTCCTTCCCGTGCAGCCAGGTGATCCACAGCGGGCACTTCATGGTGTCGTCCCCCCACAGGGACTCCGCGTCGCGCGGGAGGAAGAGCGGTGGCGCCACGAGATACGACTTCGACACGGTGAACAGGACGTGGTGCCACACGTACCGGTACGGCCCGCTGAGCTCCGGGAGCCTGAGCATCGACCCCACTCTGACCCGCCTGTTCGACTGCATGTCCCTGGCCTACAGGTGGGTCCCTTCCTTCCAGTCAGGAGCAGGAGATCAGCTCAGCTGCTCTTACTACTCACTCCCACTTGTATCCCCTTTATTTCAGGTAATCTGTGACTGTAGATACATGATCTGTATAAAAGGGAGATCTTAGAAAGCAGTCGTTTGCATATTGTAGTATTCAAGTGTTAAATAGTACAAATTAATTATAAATAGCTGACCCTGCAGGCTATAATTGAAATGTCCCCCCCCTGCAGTGATGTCCCTCTTTAGTTCATATGTTCTATTGTGAGCCAAAAACTGCCTACTGTGTAGACTAAGAGCTCCGCGTAAACATATGTGTTTCAACATGTTTCCCTTTTTAAAACTCATAGTTAGCGTGCAGATGTGTTGGTAGAGGGATTTCACTGTCCCTTGTGCAACAGCTTGGAAAGCTGGACTTTGATTCTAGTTGGCAGCTCTGGAAAATATTACAGTGCAACTGAGGGAAAGGAAAGACCCTCCTGAAACCATGCTCAGAATATGTGTTTATTATTGTTATAATGTATTACACACATGCCAAACAGACATGTAAACACCCAAAATGTGCATTCATATCTTCCCCTGCTATTTTTAAAGAGCAAGTTTATTTGTTTTTCTGATTTGAAAGAGGTGCGCTTGGGAAAATTTAGTACTTTTTGTTGACAACTTCTTTAAAAGAGTTGCCGTCAACCTTTGGCCGAAAGAAGATAGATTCCTGCCAGTTTTTTTTTTTTTTATAGTTGTTGCACAATAAAACCAGAGCCAGGGGTGGTTACCAGTCCAACAGACCACAATACTTACTTGCTCTGCTGCACATTTGTCGTTAACCAGACTGGTGTTAATTGGTCCTTGGGTCGCCTCCAGTAATAATGCTGTCTCCGCTGGTTGGGAGTGTGTGACATGCAGCGCTGTCACCCCATTAAAAGCATGTTGAAATTGATTCCCCAGGCTTCCTAGCAACTCCCAGAGCACCTCGCATTAGGGGGCCTCTTTCTCAGCACTCAGCAGGCTGAGGGACGCTGAAAAAAAAGTGCAAACAGCCTGACAGTGTACCGGTGAATCAACTGATTGGGACCTATTAGTCAAAACCAGGACAGGTTTCTAACAGGGGCGAGGCGGTGAGGCTATTTTCCACTTTCTTCTGAAGTGGAAAATAGTGTCTGTCCCTCTCTCACTCTTCTTACCAAGGGAGGAATAGCAGTGCAGTGAACATCGCCCATTTTCCATTTTAACAAATTGCCTATTTTCAGATTGATTGTGTGTTTTGTTTGCAGCGGTAAGATAGTCTCCCCCAAGTGGAAGTCTTTTAAAGGGCTGCGGTTGCTGTGGAGAGATAAGATCCGTCTGAACAATGCGATCTGGAGAGCTTGGTTCATTCAGTGTGAGTCCACCATTCTTCACCTCTTCTCCACTGTTAATGAAGAAGGGCATCAGTGTCAAACGCAGCAGAAAGTGCTTGACAAGAAGTCAAAAAGCTAAGAACTAATTACTGACGAGAAATAAATGAGTCGAACATGAAGGCACCGCAATAAATGCATTAATTATTTCGGTTCAAACGGCTAGAAACGTGTTGATGTTGTTGCTCTGTATGTGCTGTGTGTAGATGTGGAGAAGAGGAAGAGCTCGGTGTGCGGGTTCGTCACGCCGCTGGAGGGCTCGGAGTCCGATTCACATCGGAAACCTGAAGTGAGTGACTTGTGTCACAGGGAAATGCATTTTTTAATCAAAGCTGGCTTTCCAATTCAGTAAATAATACATTTGTATTTATACTGTGATGAGTTTGGTCATGTAAGTCTTATGCTCGGTATTTCTGCATCATCAACAGGCAATTGTATTAGAGGGCAGCTACTGGAAGCGAAGGATCGAGGTGGTGATCAAGGAGTATCACAAGTGGAGGATTTACTATAAGAAGAGGGTGAGCATTCATTTTTTTTATATATTTCATCTCTTGTATAGTGTTACGTTCTCCGATTAAGGTTTAGGGGATGAAGGGAGTAACAAAGGAAATAACCCAGGGGGAAAGAATCATGGGCGTGTGAATAAGCAAGAAAATTATTTATTAACAATCAACTGAAACTGCTCACAAATGCAACAACTGAAAACTACTTTCTTGAAAGGAAAACGACGCTAAACCACAGCAGTAATAAAGGAACTCAAAAACACCACACTAGGAATTGCACTAGTGGGTCAGACCATTGACACTTAGCGCACACGCTAGACCAGAGGAGACCTAACACACCAACACACACAGTTTGCCTGCTGCCACATGGATCACCGGCAGAGTCTCTATCGGTCTGCAGCTCCCAGACTCTTCTCCACCCCGGCACTAATCAGCGATTGAGAACAGCCGTGTTCACTCACGCGCTGCAGCTGGCAGGCAGGGGAAAGGGGCAGTACCTGAAGGGACACTGGGGGTGGGATAGAGAGGGCACAGAGAAAACACGGCATGTAACACCCACTCCAAGAAGACCAAACCACCGTTCGGACACAACCAACCGCTGTAATACACCTTACATGAATTTACATGAAAACAACACAAATCTTACCCACGGGACAGAGCATCAGCCACCACATTGTCTGCCACCTTCTTGTGCTTTATCTCGATGTTAAAACATTGCACTAGCAGGGCCCAACACATCGACCGCTGGTTATGATTGTGCATCTGGGCCAGGAAGACAAGAGGGTTGTGATCGGTGTACACAGTCACCGGCGATGAACTGGAGCCCACCTACAGTAAGAAAGGGATAAAAGCACGGCTAGCGCCTCCTTCTCAATGGTGGAGTAGTTCACCTGGTGGGGCTTGAACTGCACAGAGAAGTAGCACACAGGATGGCACACATCTCTCTCGCCCTCTTGCAACAGCACAGCACCGGCTCCAGAGGCACTAGCATCGACTTCAAGTTTAAAAGGACGCGAGAAGTTCGGAGCAGACCTTCCATCTGGCAGGAGGCCGCCGTCAACAAAGCCCGGGACCCCCACTAACTCTGTCATCCCCAGGACAATTTCCTACCGATACACTCCCTCTTGACACGTAAAAAATAAACGATTCTGATGTCAGATGCTCTAGAGCAGGGGTGTTAAACTCACCTCGTCTTCCTACTGCGCTCAGGTGTGCGAATGACATAGTTGGTGTGGGACACTTTTCTTTCCACCACATAAAGACCTGAACAACGGGCAGAGAGGGCAGAACCAGTCAGGTGTAACAGAACTAGCACTTTATCACCAGGCTTTAACTGTCGCTCAACAGCTGTTTCATCAAAGGGCTTCCCTCGCCAACATGGACGCACGCTGCAAACGCTCCTGACACAGGAAAACAAACTCGAGGTCCCAAGAGGATGAATTCTGATGATCCTCCTGACGTTTCTATTAGCGCCACCAGCAGGTCAAAGGTTTCACTTATCCTAACAAATATCTCTACATCTCCTTACTGGATGGATAACAGCTTAGCTTTGCATAAATGTTCATGGTTCCCACATGATATATCCTACTAACTTTGGTGATCACTCGACTTTTCCTCTAGCGCCACCATGAGGTCACATTTGTGGTTTTGAGTGAAATGTCTCAACAAGTTTCGGGTAGATTTCCATGACTTTTGGAAGAGACATTCATTCACGTTCCCCTTAAGATGAATTGTTATGACTTCAAGTCAGAAACATAATTCTGTCCAATACCACTAAAGACATTCAGATCAGCCTCAGCTAGCATGCTAATATGCTAAACTAAGATGAGGAACATGGTAAGTATTATATCAGCAAGATGTAGACTCTTAATCTTGTTACCGAGTCAAACTTCACACTTTTTCTTTTCTTTTCTTTTCTTTTGCAGCTTCAGAAAAAGAAGGATGATATTCTATCAATGCTACAAGAGGTATGACAAAGCCCTGCTTTAACATTATTCCGGTACTTGCCGTAGGTTTTGGATCAACACCAGACAAATATATTGATTTTGAGCCCTGAAAAACTGAAGTTGGCCGACTGACCCAGTCCTCAGCGCGTGTGCGTTGGCGACCTTCTAGCAGTGTTTACTTTTGAATGCAGTTGCAGCTCAACATATGATCAACAAAGTCCTCCATGCGGCTATTTTTAACACGTGGATATAGCCTCCCTCCATTGACGGCAGAGAGGGGATGAAAACAAAAAGAAGAAAAAAAAGAAACAGAAACGTGCAAAACAACTTGCGTCATGGCCCGGCATTTGCAGCCAATGGACACATTGCAAGCAGCGACAATACCTCTAACACCCCTTCAGGCTTCATCTTTATTCAAGTGAAATAGCTGCAGAACTTAATGACACTTAATCAAATCTGACCTACTTCCAGCAGTGCTTTGTAAAAGTTGAGCAGGCGGAGGGGCAGCGAGTGAGACGGGGATGTCACTGTGACACAAACAAACAGAAGATCAGGGGGAAGAGAGGGGAGAGGGGAGAGGGGAGAGGGACCCTGGGGTAAGCACCTCATTCATGATGGTATTCACATGAGAATGTGACATGTGCACTCGCAAGTAACGGCCCACTGGGCGGCTGTGTCCCGTCTCGCTACATTCACCTGTGGCATCATCATCCTTAGATGGACCGTGTCATTGGAAGCCCAGGTATTAACTCAGGTCAAAGATAATATCTGTGTGTCTGGAGCCCAAACTGTTAATGTATTGTGCGGCACTTCAAAGGGCACATATCAGCACAAAGTTGACAGGTCAAAGATCACTAAACCAGGTTTTTATGTTCTCTTTTCCCAAAGCGTTATCTCGCCTTTCTCCTCACAGATTACATCGAGTGGCTGGGGAAAAACACCTCAGTGAAACCCAGGGTTTGTTTTTGTAATGTAAGTGTTTATTTCATGTTCTTTAAAACAGGGTTTCTCAACTCTCAGAGCCCCAATCTAAATTCTCTCTAATTTACCCGTGGCAGCATATTACATACTACACTATCAGTCCTCGTTTTAAAGCTAAGTCAAACAGAGCGAAACAAAGTCCTGCCAAGTTACCAAATCAAGTCATAAATAAAGACAGGGAAGCTAGCCAAGGAGCAATAAGGTCATTATTTTAAAGTTGAAGCTCTCACTTAAAGTCAGCTTTAGACTGGTCATTTTTATTTTTCTGGATGTATTAGGACTATGCCAGTCTTCATTTTCTGATGTTTTAAGGTCAATTACTTGAAAAGTATAGATGCTGTCAAGTTGAGTCCAAATGCAATTTGAACGAAATGACCGTCTTTTCAAAAGTGAACTAAAGTTTGTTTCTCACCATGAAACATGTCGAAAAGGTTTAGAAGACAAATAGATCCAATGGCATTGAAGAATACAAATACTAACTAAGCTTCATCGGGGTTATGGTTATGAGGGGGTCCTTGGAAGGATTTCTCCCCTGAAAGGGGTCCCTGGTCCCAAAAATATACAAAAAACTGTCATGACCAATGAGAAGTCTGTTCTTTGATTTCGATATAATATTACAATGTTTCTTTAGCCACAAAAGCGGTGTGATCCTAGGGATGTGGGTCAGTCCACCTCAGACTGAAATATCTCAACAACCCTATTGGATGGATAGGGATGGTAAATATTACCTGCTAAACTTATATTAACATATTAGCGTTGTCACTGTGAGCATATTAGCATGCAGATGTTGGCATTTAGCGCAAAGCACCCCTGTGCTAAAGAACAGTCTTGTACAGTCAATGGTGTATCCGCACCACTAGTCGCGAGCTGTGGGTGTCCTTATCTTATCCTGTACTCTGTACGAGAGACGACATAGCTTCACTCAAGACAAAAGGAAGAGATGTTCTGCATTAACAGTCTCATCTCTGCGCTTTAGTTTCATCTCATTTTTATTAGCTGACTTTTGCACATTTTATTTATTTTCCATTTGTTGCAGGAAACACCTCAACACAAAACAAAAAGTAAATAATGCCCATCGGAAGCGATGGCTGCATGCATGTCTAATTTATTCTTTAACCGAGTCAGAGGCAGCAGCAGTTTGTGTTGGTCGGGGGCCTCAGGTCTCGCTGTTTGCTCGCACATGAGTGTGTCCGCCAGAATTAGGTCAGGGACAAAAGGCTGCCGCTCTTATTGAAACGGTGAGACATCAAAATAACGAAATGAACAAAAGCCAACATAATGATAACCTCTAAGAGGCTAGTGTTTTTGAACAATATGTCAAAAGTGCTTTTTTCCTACTTGCTCAAAGAAAAACAAATTGAGAGGTAAATGAATAAATTATAAGAAGGGATGTCGTGTGCTTAGACGTAATCCAAACAGTTTCCGGCTCAATCTGGGCTTCCCTATATATGTGGTGTCAGAGTTAGAAGTGGAGGGTAAAGACAAGAAGAGGGTGAAGCAAAGCGGCTCAAATGAAGGGAAAGAGGACCGGTCTGGAGCTTCATCTTCTGTGAGTGTTTCACTGAGAAGAGAATGGGCATTAAGTGTTGCATGTCTTGAAATTAGATGGGATAGTGGAAGACATATGTGGGTTTTTTCTTTTATGTAAGTGGATGTAAATTGTGTTTTAGCGAGTTGGCATTGGCATATTCTTAAGAGCTTTTTACACACAACACCATATGCTGGACATGTACAGGTGGGTGCGAGGGCCAAACTCCATCAATGCATCACTTTGCCTTTTCAGTCCTATTTGTAGGGAGCCCTCTGATGGATAGATCAGTGATTGGCTTGTCACTAGAAGTTGATCCTATGTTTGGATCTCTGGCTGATGTGCTCCAGGGTCAGATCTGCCAGGCCAAGCTGGAGAAATGGTCCAATCAGATGTACCAGCAGCCTGAGGCTGCGCCGGTGGAGGTCCACATGTTTGACCTGGACTGCCTCCTGTCCGACATCTCCGACACCCTGTTCACCATGACGCAGAAGCCGTGTCCCTGGGCCGGTGACCTACACGACAGTGAGTAGTCAGCACATTTTCAGAGTCACCTTCAGCTGTGACCGAATTGATTATGGACAACTGGTGGCCTGTGAGCTGCATGACGACATCAAAACATGTCTTTCTTTTCATTGGGCATTCATCATTTTGATGCATCGTTTGGCTGAAAAATAAATTGTATTTATTCAAAAATATTTGCTTTCTTGCTGAGAGTTAGATGAGAAGATCGATACCACTCTCGTGTCTGTCCGTTCAATATGAAGCTACAGCCGGCAGCCGTTTAGCTTAGCTTAGCATAAAGACTGGAAACGGGGGTGATGCAGTTAGCCTGGCTCTGTCCAGTGAGTGACGCAATCTGCCTACCAGCAACTCAAAAGACAGAGCCCGGCTAGGTGTTTCTCAGACTTTATGCTAAGCTAAGCTAAACGGCTGCTGGCTGTAGGGTGGTATTGAACTCATTAATTTCCTAAAATGAATTATTACTTTTTATGTTATCGACATTTTTCCAAGAGGCTTTAATATTTTACCTCAGTTTTGTCATTTGGTGCAGCTGATGAGTCACATGGGTCAGCCAAAGGAACCCACCCTACGAATAAGGAAATGCCCTATGATGAAAGAAGAAAAAAGCGCACACACAATAAGGCGGACTATTAACAGATGCACTCGCTCACATTTCTCTGTTTCTCATGTCTGATATGTTCTCTTCGTCCTCAGCGTACACCAGCAACGCTGATATAATCCAGCCAGGTCTGACTCCGCTGCAGCCCAACCTGGATGATTTCATGGATATACCAGGTACTCTCTACTACTACTGTCTGTCTGTCTTTCTGTCATCTTAACATGTTGTCATTGTATGGCAGCAGATCAATATTGTTTAAGCTTTATCTGAGTATCCATCCAGTTTTCAATGTTCGTTTTTGTCCACCATAGGTAAATATTCCATGACATGTGGTACAATATGTTTGATAGTTGATAGAAGACGTGTGAACCGATCCTGGTAAGCAGTATCGATGTTTTTCAAGTCATTAATCGTTTAATGACAGTTCGGTGTCTACATTTCTGACGGGCTACAATCCGCAGCACTCATCCTGATTCACATGTTCCCTACTCAGACACAAAATAAAAGTGTACGAATATTAAGTCTTTAAAGCTGAATTTAAGATTCAATTGCAGATATCTTTTCACATGACGTATCAGATTTATTGTTGATGCGTCAAACAAAAAAAAGAAATCTGTTCTCGAGTGACCCGCCTTTGTTTATCTGCAGTAATGTTCCTCAGAGGTTGGAGGAGGGTCAAAGGCAGGGTTGAGCGGGGAGAATGGGGAAGTGGAAGAGGATGACTACGTCCACTCCTTACATAGCCTACAGTCTATGGGACTCGCTTATAGGAAAACGGCCAGGGCTACCAGAGGTCTACACTCTACACGTAACCTTTCAAAGGTGATAACCATGTCAGTGGTGCGTTCAAAGTTTGCTGAACGCAACACTGACATGGTTACCCCCCCTCCACACACACACACACACACACACACACACACACACACAAAAGTGGCCAGAAAATCAGGTACTGCAGGTGCAAGTAAACTTTCATGCAAATCCAGGATTAAATGTTGCAGCAACAATTTTTATTGAACAATAGGTTTAAAGAAAATGTGACTAAAATTGTTTTGGTGTGACATATGTCATTGTCTAATCCCTGACTCCAAAGTCCTTTTTGTTCTAAATGAATACTTGATGATACGTTCCAGAGAGGCTGTGTGAGAGGCAGGGAAAGGTGTGCTTGCACAGAGAGCGGAGGAGCAGGTCGCAGTTTAGCCCCTCGCTGCCTGCGGTTGTTTTGGCCCCCTTCGTGTTGCTTTCGGTGAAGCGGCCCTCTGTGGGCTACAAAGTCAGCCTTTGTAACCCACAGACAACCAGTGCCGCTGCTGGAACACATTGTGTGTGTGTTTCGCTGTTTGTTCTCACAGCGTTGGCTGGGTCCTGAGGGATCAGCTGTCCGCCTCTCTGTTGGTCACAAGACCCAGGGAGCTCGCGAGCGTCCGTCAGAGCGACGCGGTTCAGTCCAGTGCTTCTCTGAAATGGAAACACGGAGGACTTTTGTGAGGCATGCCGGTGGATTCTCCTTACTGAGGTGAAACCAGGAACACTGGTATGTATGTTCAGACTTGCCTTGTGCCTTACAGAGGTTGTGTCATGTTGGATTGCTCCAACAAGCCGAAAACAAAGTTCTTTCGACTGAAGCAAGTGAGTTAATATTTGTCTCCTCGACTAGTCATAAAAAAGCTGGTTTGAATTCGGTGCCGTGAGATGTGAAGAAATGGTTTTAATCACAGATGGCAGCTCGGCACATTCAGTTGCCAGTGCGACTCCAGAAATATGTGACCTGACAGATCCGGCGTGAGCGCCTCGCTGTGTTTTGGACGGTGACTCTCTGTGTGATGTTCTGGCTCTGCGGGTTTTTTTATTTTACGTTTTGTTGCTTGATTGTCGTGAAATGTGATATCAAACTGCAGACTGACAGTTTATAACTGCAGGCTTGTTTCAGCCACACGTGGACGAAAAACATTCGATCAAATGGATTTTACTTTCCATAAATATCGCATTATATTCCTATTTCTATTTTCATTCTCCGTCTATTTCCCCTTATTGCAAAGCTCTTTGGGCTGCATTTTTTTGTATGAAAGATGGCATAAATAGTTTTTATAATGATAATGACAATAAAAATACTTATTCTAATACAATTTCATCACCATTATTATTGTTATGATTTTTGTTATTATTATTTAGTGGGTTTTATTTTCCACCTTATGTTATGCATTCTATGTATTCTATATAATTTAATTTTGAATCAAATTACATTACAGTACAGTCATTTAGCAGACGCTTTTATCCAAAGCGACTTACAATTCAGATTCTATCACACCGTAGGCACAGCACAGCTACGGGAGCAATTTGGGGTTAAGTGTCTTGCTCAAGGACACGTCGACATGCGACTAGCGAAGCCTGAGCCGGGGATCGAACCGCCGATCCTCTGATTGGAGGACGGCACCTGCTCTCCACTTAGCCACGGTCGCCAAATGGATTTTATTTACCATAAATATTGCATTATATCCCTATTTCTATTTCGTCTACTTCCCCTTATTGCAGAGCACTTTGTGCTTTGTTTTGTATGAAAGGTGCCACACAAAACAAATTGATAATAATAATGATACTATAATAATAATATTAATAATAACAATACTTATACTAATAATTAATCATCATTAAAATTATATTTATTATAATTATATTTCCATTAGAAGACACAATTTTCTCCTTTTATGGAGTTTAGTTAAATGACTATAATGAAGACATCTTTGCGGTGAAAGCAAACACCTCTGGAGGTGACCATGCAGTATCTCAGTAGGGCTCTGTTGTGCCTAAGTAAACAGTAATGTAATGTGGATATATTATGAGTTAAGTACAATGTGAAAGCTTCCTTGACCTGTTTATGTGTGTGTATTATATTTTTGCCACCTTCTTGACAACAAGACGCAGCTAGATATGAGGTGGCTGCATGTGCTGTGTTGTGTTCATTCAACAGTACTATTACATTTGGAGATTTGGGCTCGTTCCATCTGAATCAATGCTCAAAGTTTCTTCATACTTGACAGTCTGTGTGTGTGCTTTTCCCAGATATCTTTATGAACTACCGGGGCCAGCCCACTGAGCAGACTGTTTTTGCTGACTGTGGCTATTTTGAGAGCTCGCCCAGCACAGCGTTTGCTCCGCTCACCTCCTCTGTGGGGACGGCTCCTCGGCTGCTCCTCGACACCCAGCTGGCTCAGGTACTGCCGGTGTAAACGGCTCCTCCTGCTTGTGGCACGGACCTCTGCAGAAATACTTCATTAGCAATCCGACAGTGCTGTTGTTTAACCTGTAAAGTAGGTTGGGTCTTTCTCTTGCAGCCCAATCTGTCGTCTGCCGGTTTGCCTCAGCCCTCCTCATCCAATACCCGGCCAGACCAGACCAGTCAGGGCCAGGTTTGCGGTGAATACCACACATCTAGTATCATATCGGGCGCCATGCCCTACGGACATCAATCGTACCCCGATCCAGCTGTGTCTATAGCGTTCACCAACAGCATCGAGCAGCCGGCCTCTTCAAGTATTCCCTTTCTGTACCCGCTGCCATGCCACAAGTTTGGTTACTACACAACCACCAGCGAGACCCCCACAGTCATCACTCACACCGCCTCCACCATGGGGGCCCAGGGCTCCGTGCACCACCAGGCTCCTGGCTACCCTCACACAGGGGACACGTACCCCCAGACCCCCTGCCACTCTCTCAGTTACCCGGAGACCGTGTCTGACCTGGTCCACACAGCGCTGCCCTCATGCACCGATGCGGCCCACTGCTTCTCGGTCCCGGAGCAGGTGGCCGTCACGGGGGTCAGAGGGAAGCACAGGCAGAAGACGGGAGGAGTGAAAACTGTCGGTCCCTCTGTGGCGCCGGCCAACCCGCCGTCCACTGCGACCACACCCACTAGCTGCCTGGCCAAGCTGCTCTCCTCCAGCGCCCGTGAACGTGAGTCCGTTCTGTCTTTTGTTCCATCTTCAACAACAGTTATTCATCTGAATCATGTTTCTGAGACAAAATGAGCAAACTCTTGTTTTTTTGGTGCTTTCAGGGAAGCCACCGCTACGATTTGATACTTCTCTAGTGACAGCCAAAGGTCAGAGGTCATCATCGCCCAGCTCCTCGGTGAGCCTGTCCTTTAGTATCACAAGATGTTCATTTGTGTTGAAAACTGGCTTGTGCAATAACTGAGATGTTAGAACAACACATTGTTGTTTTTACAGCGGAATGTTTTGCCAAACTATTTCTTGGCCGGCACATTGACTTCCTCCAGCTGTTTGTTTTTTTGTACGGATTAAATAAACAAGATAGGATTGCATTAATTAGTACATCACTGAGGTACATTTTATTATCTTCAGGCAATGTTCATAATAGAGAATTATATATAATATCTCTGTAATGTTCATAACGTTTCCACTTAAGTTAAAGTATAATACTTCAATTTTCTAGGCGTACTATATTGTTTAAAGTAATTCAGACTTTATGATTCTCACAAATCATCGTTTGGTCACATGAGGTTGGCACGTGTTTCCCTGGTTACGCATCTCCAACAGGCAAGGAGGCTCTCAGGGAGTGACGTGGTGATGAGAGTTCAGCACCTGTGAAAAGATGCATTCTGCTGTTTATTCACACAAAAGTATTTTGAACGATATTGAGTATGTAGTGCATTGTCTTTGTGCTATGCTAAGCTAACCTGGTGCTGGCTGTGGCTTCATGTTTATTGTACAGACATGAGAGTGGTATCGATCTTTTCTAACTCTCTGCAAGAAAGCAAATAAGCACAGTTACCAAAATGTTGAACTATTCCTTTAAAATTACATCCCGTTGATTTTACATTTTTGACAGACTGAAATTGTCAACAAAACTTTTAATCTCCAAATAAGTCCATTTGGATTTCTGTTCTGACGGTTTGAGTATATTTTGTTCATCAGGGGTCTAACATGGATCTGTGGTGTGGCATAGTAATATGTTATGATATAATATATGGTTAACTTGTGTGTTGTGTAGCAGTCAAGCAGCAGCGCTCATGTCGGAGGAGCTTCGTCGCAGCTGCAGCATGGAGCCGGTTGGCCGGCAGGGATCCCACTGTTGACGCCTCCGCACTGCCAGAGTGCCCCCCTGGGTCACAGCGGACCCCACGCCAGCACCTCCAGAGGCTTGGCCGTGTCCGCCCCGCTCACCCACGGCTCCTCCACAAACATCGGCTCAACCCTCCTCATTCCCAAGACCGAGAAACTATCTCCTGTCCAGCTCTACGGCGCGGAGAGGAGCAGCCTAACAGGTCAATGTTACAAAACCACTGAAGTGAGCACTGACACTTGTCAGGTGGCTGCAATGGTAAAATGTACATGGTCAAACAATAAGCCTGGCTCCATGATACTGATGATTCATTTTTGAAATTCATGACTCTGCTGGCCATAAAATACAGAGACACAACTTTTTTAACATTTAAGGGGTCATTTTTCTTCCGATTTAGTTTTCCTATCAAAAATAATAAATAAAATAATAAATAAATATATTTAATCAGGAAGCAAATTAACACAAATATCAATTGATGCCTCATTTTATCAATCAGTGTCTACATTACATTTTTATATTATTTTAGTATATATAATGGCATAAATAGTTAATTAATCAAATAATGTATTCATTTTTGGCAGCTTTCATCCTTAGTAGTAGAGCTCATCTAATTTCCCTGCAAATGTAATGAATAGATATTACAACCTGTCTTTCTTTTAGTTCATTTTCCAGGACGTACAGGCCAGACGTCGCCACCAAACCCTTTGGATAGAATCTCCAACCCCGAGTCCCCACACTCGTGCTTCTCAGGACATGGAAAGATAGAATCAAGTAAGGTAGGACATACTGTCTAATTTCATCTACATGTCTATGTTTTCATTGTACAGCATGACATTGAATATATGTATTTATATATATGTATGTATTTATATATATATATATTGATAGACAATATTTATATATATAAATGAAATCATGTCCTCGCCCAATAAGTGAACAGGAAGCTGTTGACCCAGCACGTCATTCTGGGTGTGCCATGTGATGTGCATATTTCTACACTGCATACGTTATCTGCAGCAAACAGAGACCAGAAGGATAACTCACATCTCGGCTGAGCAGAAGAGGCGCTTCAACATCAAACTGGGATTTGACACGTTACATAACCTCGTGACAACGCTCAGCTCTCAGCCGAGCATAAAGGTACTGTGAAAAGACGTGCAGCTGCATTAGAGATAGACGCAATGAGAGGAGGGGCAAAGTTTAACCGGAAAGATGTATGTAAATACAGCAAAATATTGGCAATTTGTGGCAGTGACATGTGGTGATCCCTGTCGTCTGCTGGCACAGATCAGCAAAGCCACCACACTGCAGAAGACTGCCGAGTACATCAGTAAGATGCAGCAGGAGAGAGCTCAGCTGCACGAGGAGGCTCAGAGACTCAAAGAGGAGATCCAGCTCCTGAACTCTGCTGTCAAGTGAGACTTTTAGCCATGCTTGACATCCCTAGTGTGTGTGTGTGTCTGTGTGTGTGTGTGTGTGTATGTGTATGTTTATGTATGAATGTGTGCAGGCATGGGAGTGTATGCACATCCATTAGGATTGGGTGGATATTTCTGTTTAAATTAAGTTCTAATATCACCCTGATATAATGTTAAAGGACAAGTTCACATTTATTTTGAACATTTGGAAGGGATTTCTGAAGGGTCAGTATGAACAGTAGGAATGATCACAGCAAGTTACAACTCTTTCCGTGCCCATTTTGGTACCCGACTACTGATTTAAGATGGTAATATCACATTTCCCTGCTGATACAAAGGTGCGCCGCACTGCTTTGCTGACTCTGCGTTTTCTCTTCGTGCAGCGCGTGCCAGCTGCAGCTGCCGGCCACCGGTGTGCCCATCACACGGCAGCGCTTCGACCACATGAGGCAGAAGTTCCGAGAGTACGTCCAGGCACAGACGCTGCGAAACTGGAAGTTTTGGATCGTATCCTTTGTGAATGTGAATCTGACCAGAGGTTAACTAAAAACATCAATGTGACTAGAATATAATCCGGGGTTGGGTACTAAATGTACTCATCTATTCCTATGTGGGGTTCTTATGTGTCAGTACTTTGCAGCATAAACTGGCTTCTTCAGACATTGGAAGGAATGTTAAATTTAGTTTTGTTCCCAACACCCTTTGAATCCAAATGAACTAATTACACGGAGCCTCATGCCAATCTGGAAGGAAACGGAGGAGGATGTCTGGTTTTAAAGTGTAGCAGGGAAATGGAGATTTTACTTTTGGTGAAGTACAAATGGTAAGAAACCAAAAGCTGTACTTTGTGGAGATGTGAGTATGCTAATGTGTATTTTTAATTCACACAAAGCACATTCTTCATCTGGGGCGTCTCAGTGTCATCAGGCAGATAAAATAAATGCTAGTTGCATAAAAAAAGCAATATTAAAGCATAACTCTTTCCTCACCCAATCCGTTACTGCTTCCCTTATCTTGGAGGCAAGATAATAGGATTAGATTACCATTTTATCATCTTTGTGTGTTGCACAAATACACCTTCAGGGTGTTTTTCTCTGCATGAATATTGAGGTATTTTCTATGCTCCCTCAAGAGATGTGCATGTATCCAACTGCTGATATAATGAATTCAAAACATAAAGTTCTCCAAGAGGATCTTTTCTCTTTACGCAGAGTCAAGTTAGAAGCATTTACCATATATTTGACTGTACTATTCAACAATGGGAATTGACTTATTCTGTTTTTTTATCTAGTTTAATGATGTTTCCCAAATAATGAGCTACTTGCAGTGTCATGACTGAAGTTTCCATTAAAGAGTAAGTCTGACAATATTGTCAAGTTGCTCCTGCAGGCTGTTCCCGCCGTATGAATGGGTGTGAATGGTTAGATGGTCCTGATGGGCAGGTGGCACCTTGCATGGCAGCCCCTCCATCAGTGTATGAATGGGTGTGAATGGGTGAATGATGACATGTTGTGTTAAAGCGCTTTGAGTGGTCGGAAGACTAGAAAAGCGCCATACGAGTACAAGTCCAAATACTATTTACATATCATATCTAGACAGGACACATTTACATTAAAACACAATGATATGCAGTATTAAAAACTCATGAGCCACACTGTTGCACTGGATGACATGTTCCTTCATTAGTTTATTTTGACTTCACACGTCCTCCTGCTGTAAATACTCACTAGCACACTAATTGCGTATTAATCCGCAGCTGAAAATAGTTCCCCAAAAGATATCCTATTTACTTGTGACATTTGCTAAAACAAACTACAGCTTCTGTTCCAGGAATTTACAGCTGCCTTTGTTTTGTTTTTTAAGAAATGAAACTATACTTATGACATGTTTATGACTATTTTCTCAACTACACCAGCCAACCGTATCGCCGCGCAGAAGGAAGCCTGCGTCTACTCTTAAAGTGTCTTTGGGTATTTAGAAAAGCGCTATATAAAATGAAAGTATTATTATTATTACTCATGGACAAGATGAGCTCACGCTAATGTCAACAATAATAGCGACCTCCTGGGCTGCGCTGTAATGTTAGCTAGCTCAGTGGTGCGAGGTGAGCCAGCAGTGTCGAGCCTCCTTCTAGCGAAGTGATTCGGTTGGTGGGCGTGGTTTGGTAGAAAGGAAATAGTTCCTCCATGAAACTGCTCACAACAAGGTCTGATTTTCTTGAGGGTCATGATTTCTGGAATGAAATATCGTTGAGTTTTTCAAATGGAATTTTTTTTTTTGTAGGGAGAAACTATGTCGTTTTGATTTTGGGCTAGCTGTTCCTTTAATATCAATTAAGTAACGTTCGGAAAACAAGAACTTAAGTGTGTCAAATGACTTCTTTCCTCAACTCAGCATCAGTTCAGCATCATCATCGAGCCGCTGTTCGAGTCCTACAATGGAATGGTGTCCACTGCCAGCGTGGAGGACTTGTGTCAATCCACTCTGTCCTGGCTGGACCAGCACTGTTCCCTGCCTGCCCTAAGACCCAGTGAGTGCAGCACAACTTGTTTACTCAACGTTTTCTTACTCCGTATTATCGCCAGTGTTCCTTCTCACTGGCTATAATGTGTGTTTGTCGTCTCCCTGCGTGTCCCCCTCAGTGGTTCTGAGTTCACTCCGTATCCTGAGTACAACCACGGCCATCCTGACAGACCCCAGCCTGGTGCCGGAGCAGGCCACCCTCGCCGTCACCCAGGGCGGCCCCGCTGCTGCCCTGGACCACTCCTTACAGCCCGCCACCCAGGACAATATGCACCCCATGTGACCGAGAAGAACAGACTCAGTGGAAACTCAACTGGAATCCACCGCAATGCACAGAAGACCACAAGTCCGAGGAGAGCCTGTGGAGTGGTTTAAAAAGACTGGACGCTCATCTCCCAGACTTTTACTAATGCATAGTCACATTCCAAGTAAAAAATAATGTATTCTAGTACACCCATAAAATCCCGAGGAACTATATGTGATTCATGCTTAAATTCTTGTAAAAGCATAACATACTTGTACTATACAAGCAAAAAGTTTAGATGAAGTTCAGTCACTGTGAATGGCTTCAATTTCTGTTTAAATACTTTGGTAACATGAGCTGACTGCATTTATTCTCAATTCCTTTCACATCTCAGGTTGTCTTTTTTGTTTATAGTATATTATTGTCTTCAATCAGACATTTTCTCACTACAATGTCTTATCGCACCTCATACTTATCTCACTCTGTATTGGGCATCACACACCAGTGCTAGTATAAAGTAAGAGAAAACAAGTTATAAAGTTAAGCAGGGGTTATTTCAGAATATTAAGTTAAGTGGTTCTCAAAGTGGAGTTTGCGGACCATCAGGGCTCCTTGAAGGCGGCCCAGAGGGTCCCCAGTAAACTGAACAATACGAAACATATTTCCTTTGAATCAGGACAAAAGTCATTTTAACTCTGTGTCAAATGCCTATGCGTCTACTGTTACTTAAACATTCTTTTTTTGGGGGGATAAATCATTTACCGTCACAACCTCCAAACCTAAGACACAGCATGCAGTTTATAGAAGAACATTCCTGAATACACTGACACAGGTCTTTATCACAGCAGACATTTTGACTACAACTGGTACTAATAACAGAGGGCTCAGTTGGATTCGAGTGGCCCATTCAGCAGTGGCAGTGAACCAGCATACACAACACCAGGGGCCTGGAACTGCAGCTAAATGGAATTCATCCATCAGCAGCTTAATTATTTACACCTGTGCGTTTCCTCCTGCGACATGTCGAAATGTCTTCCGCTAAAGAAGGGATATGCCTTCCAAATGATAACATAAGTGAACCACCAGACTATTGCTCATGTTTAGGACAATGTCGTTTACACAGAAAAATGGTGTACTCACCACGCTAGGTGACGCTATCACAGTGCATTTGACTACATTTCGTTGTGAGCTGCAGGTGCTCCTCCGGTCCAACAGCGGGCGCTGCGCCTGTAGGCGGGCCGGGAGAGGCGCAGTGTGGTGGGTTTTTGTTCCCAGATCTCTTCGGTGCGCTGTCCACTTCAGCACCACAAGCCGAGCAGAGGCAGCGGGGCTGCTAGCTAACGCCGAAAAGGAGTGACGGAAGACGCGGTCCAACATCAGCACTGACCCCCCCCCCCCACCCCACCCCACCCCCCCCAAAGACACAACACAACCCCCCACA